CAAAGTCAGTGTGCTTGGCTATCAGTTCTGCTTACTCTCCCTTTTGATTTTGAAAAATGTATACACACACACACACACACACATATGCAGCTAGATACTAGTGGTTTGAAGAAAAATGGTACACAGGAATTAAAAGTGATTGAACTAGTACTGTAAGGATCAGTGATTTGTGAAGAATGATACCCCAGACTCAAATAGTATGTTACAGCAAAGAGCCTTACTTCTCAGACATGTAGGGGTCTACCATAATTCAGGATGAAAGATAGATGTGTGGACTCTGCAGGGCCAACTTAAAGCTCGTTATGGTAGAAGTGCCTGATTTTTACCTTTCCCTTGATTGCTTGGTTCTGTCTCCAGGGGTATGAATGACTTTGTGACTGGTTAAGATACTGGGAGATTTTGGAGACTTTTGCTAATTTAGCTCAAACTAGTTGGTGGAGCAGCTTCTATAGCTTGTAGTTGACTGCTTATGAGATTGGCTCCAGCTAGGTAATGGGGGCTTCCTGATGACTGCCCATGAAGGTTGATTACTTCCTGGAATTGACTTGTTTTGAACGAATGAAGTTCTGGGAAACAAAAACTTGGGCCTAGTCTCCAAAACTGCCAGCCTGTTAAGGAGTCAGCCTGGCTCTGGCTAACTGTGTCCTCTCATTCCAACTTCTGATTTGTAATTGAATCGAATATTTGTTCTGTCCCAATTTCCACCAAAGTCTTAGACATTAGCTAAAGGGTCAATTGAAATGTAAGAATCATGAATTAATTCCAGAAATAGGGGCCTTTTTGACTTAGCATCTCAGCCTGTATGGTGGCATAATGGATGTCAATTTTTAATATTTGATTTTTGCTGGTATTTGGGAGTTCATTGTTTTCTTGAGGGCTTAGGAAGGCTGAAATGTTAAAGATTGCCCAAAGATTGGGCAATGGGGCATGTATAAGAAACATCTGGTTAGGAGATCCAGCTGAAAGACAAGGAACTATCATATTGATTGGGCTAGTTAACATCAACTTTTAATAAGACAGCTTTCAGCAGTTTGCAGTCCTCAGATGGTCCCTGGATGTCAGTGTAACAGTTTGTTGTTGGAAAGCCATTGGTTATGTGAATCCTGAAACGTCCTCTCAATAGCATGGGGAATGGGGATAACAACTTTCTGTCTCATGGTTTTCCTATCAGCATCCTTGAAAAACAGGGTAGAGGCAGCTATGATCCAGAGGCAGTTTGGACATTTACAGGCCACCGGGTCCTGTTTCTTAGATAAGTAAGTCACTGGTATCTTTCATGGTTCCAACATTTAAATGAGTACTTCTTTTGCTATCCCACTTTTCCATCCACATACACTAGACGGTTTTAAAAACAATGTCCATTTTTTTATATTGTCCTATCCTTTTTTTTCCTCATATGGGCTTCAAATTTTTTTGAGATATTATCTATGGTTCTCATTTTTCTGTACATCACCTGGCTTACCTTAGAAAATTTATGAGCCATCTAGTGCCTTCTAAGGGACCCCTCTACACACACTCTATTAAAACCTTGAGGTAGACCCAGAAATTCTACTTAACTCCATCAAACAGGTTAAGCCATAGGGAAGACTACATCATTATCAGACTAGACTTGGGTAGCAGTCCATTTGTTCCCAGAACCAATTTGCACACAGGTCTCATGTTTTTGCTTGTTTGTTTTATTGTTGTTGTTGTCATGAAGAGAACCTGGAGCATTTGGTGACTGTTGCCTCAGATGGCCAGTGAGTTACATGACTGAATCTAAAAGACCTATGAGTACTGAGTGTCTCTATGAAAATGGGGGAGTTTGCAACTTTCAGTTGTAACTGTTTTTACTAGCAAATGACATATATGTTATGAAGTACCTCCTCTGTACATTTGGAAGTCCTGACGTCTGGTGGGGCAAGATTGTAGTAGTGTCAGCCCTCTGGGCAGTACAGGACCAAGTGAGTGTTACAGTCCAAGTAGAGTCAGGAGAGTCAGAGGAGTCAAGGGCTATTGCTTCCTCTGTCTGTGCTGGTTGAACAGGGCCAGTGGTGGCAGGAGCAGAGATATAAGGAGGAGGCAGAAACCTTCTTCAGGGTCAGAGGGAGGAATCAAGATAGAGAGGGCAGGATAGACTCTCCTGCAGAGGAAGAATTGTTGGGAGCAGTGCAGTTGGTGAAAAAAAGGGTTTCAACCAAACAAGGATCTTTTTGATCAGGTACTGCCGTCTGAGGATATGTGGCCTGTGGCCTTATAGACAATAACCTTTGTTGCCAGGAGACATCAAAAAGAAGCTAAAAACTAGCTGGTGATCATCCTAAGATAGTTCCACCATGGACTATAAAGTTAATCACAGACATGTTTCTCTAGGCAAGGTCAAGAAGATTACATTCAAGGAAAGATTCTTGAAATTAATATGCTTCCCCTGTTATTATTAAATATATATAACAATTACTAGGTATCAGCCCACCCTTTTGGGTAGGTCTCTGCAAAACAAAGAAGATGCACTGTCTTGTAGTGATGTTCTATAGTCAAATAGAGAATTTCTTAATTCTTAGTGATGGTCCTATAAGAATTCCAAAAATTATATTTGTAATTATTAAGTTCACTTATTAAAACACTGCTATAAGTTCCTTTCTGATGTCAAAACTGCAATAAGAACTATGCCATTTTTCAAGTGTTCCAAGTTAATTGCTTCTGAGATAAGCATGCATCAAGAGGTTGTAAAACAATTAACCAAAGATCATAAAAAGGGAACTAATGATTTACTATAGCTGCAAAAACAGAATATAAAATATTGACTGGGTTTAACTATATGAAACTTCACTAATACTTTAGTCACAAATATTATGGTTTTTAATTTTCACTGAATATATAAAGCTAGTGAAAGATGGTGAACATTCAGCTATATAAATACTCTTGATGGATATGCATGTCAACATTTTCTGTTGTAAACTTATTAATTTATGATTTGAATTTATGTGTAAACAAGCGGTGAACTTTTTACCATGTGATCATGTATACTGAAGATGAATAAGTGATGAGGACAAAGAGAGAAGAAATCCCCTTTCTCTTAGAGAATAGAACTTTTGAGACAGTAGAAACCTTTTGAGGTACTTTCTTAGAGAAATTTCATAGAAAATTTTTTATAGAGAACTTAGAAATAAAGATTAAAATCACATTTCAAAGCTTCTTCCTCAGGTCATCCCTCTTTACAATAGAGCAATTTATTTCTGCAAACAATGGTTAATTTGCTAGGCTGAACAAACTGAATGGAGTCTTCTACAATTCTATAAAACTGTCAGGACAAAGCTCAGTGGGGTGCTCTGCACCTGTCTCATCTTAGAATCAGAGAAAATCTTGTACAAGAAGACAAAAAACACAGACAGAGGACAAACAGAGAGACACAAATGACATTGCTGGGAAAATAAAAACAAAACTAAAAGGCTGTTTTAAATGTTCTTCCTTCCTTCACAGGAAAAGCCTATAAACCCAGAAATGATTCAGAAATTAGATGGGAACTAGCAAGTTCTTCCTACACAGATGCTGGTGAGTATACACCGCAGCCCCTGCTGCTTAACAAAATACTCATCTATTTCACCCTTCTGTGACTCCAGATGAAACCTGAAACAGAAACACAGAGATAGATAAGACAATAGATAACTAGTCACCTAGACTTAACAATTGGAAAAGAAAAAACTCAACTATTTGGGCTAGGGTAACTCAGTAAATCCCAAATGAGCCCCCAAATGTAAGGGTCTATGATTTGCAAAGAATGACACTCTAGACTCAAATAGTATGCAAGAGTAAAGAACATTTATTCTGCAGAAAACCTGAATGCAGGGATGTACCATAACTCAGAATGGAAGACACAGATTTGGACATTGCAGGGTCAACTTAAAGCCTGTTATGGTGGAAGTGACTTTTACCTTTGAATGGTTGACACCATTTCCAGACATATAGGTGACTTTGTGAGTGGTTCATAGGGATGTGGGGGAGTTTTGCTGATCAAGTGTGCTTGGCTGAGGTTAGGTAGTCAGGCAACTTCTACAGCTCCTGAGTAGATGTCTGTGAAGTGGGCACAGACTAGGTGGTAGGAAAGCTTACTGATTGTCTCTCAAGTGTGTGAGGTTTTATTCCCTGAAATTGATTCATTTTGCACTTTTCCAGGACTGATATTCAGAAACTTGGGCCTAGTCTCCCAAATTACCAGTTTGAAACATGTTATGGAGTCACCCTGGCTCTGGTTAACTCAGTCCTCTTACTACAAGAGAATAGATTGAATGTTCTAAAAAGCATATAATGAAGTCTTAGAAACCACTGAAAAACCTAGTGATCCATATAACCCAGTCTGAATGTATTTTCAAAGGTGTATGGTGACTTCTGATTATATTTGTCCACGTAATAAAATATTTTCATGGTGACAATTGCATGATCTGTGAATGCAGATGTATCTAGAACGCATGCCTAGTATATTTGAAGGCTTTACTTTCAATTCCCTTCACAAAAAAGTGCTAAATGCATGATGAGGATAGAAATATTTTCTTAGAATTATTTAATACAGTGAGGTGATATCAGTCAATTAATTTCCTGATTTTGAGTAAATATAAACTTTTACATTTGCAAGTTCATTTTGTAAGAGTCAATATATTTAGAACATAACAATTAAACAACATAACATAAAAATGATTAATATAACATAAAAATTATTGTTTTAGATTATGAAACATATAAGTATTGAAGTACAAAGATAATGATAAGGAAAAGAGATTCAGTCATATGTACTTTTAAACATTAAGCCTTCTGTTGATGGCGTAGAATGTACTGAAATGAGGAGAAGAGGGAAAGACTGCAACAAGCATAGTAAATAAAACTAACAATACTTTACAGAGATGTTATCCCTAGAGAGAATTAGTGTGGATATATTTTCTTCAATTTTAATCTATTAAAGTCAATGTATTACTTTTCTAAAAGTAAACAAAGGGTGCATTAGTAGTTGATAAGTATAAAGTGTAAGGACTGCTCTTAGGGTTGCAGGTGTGGCTGCTGTGTCACATGCACACCAGTAGGTGGCAGAGAGGAGAGAGGTTACTTCTATCCACGGTGTTCTGACCTAGGAACATCTAAATGATTAGTAGAATAACACTCCCTGGAGAAAGAAAGCCTGAGATGACCACTAATCCAGTGCTGCATAAACCCAAGTAACTCCTAGTTCTAGGAACAAGCCAGAGACTAGACGTTTTCTAGGACTGAAGCCACCAGGTAGGAGTGAACTCAACACAGACAATCCTCAGAAGGGGTCAGGCCAGATGAGGAATGATCCTGATATAATCCCTTCACTAGCTGCAGCACACAGGACAATGAGCCCCGTACCTCCCCTAGTTAGTACAATTGAGCTGACCCTGGTGGTTGGGGCACAGGTAGGCCAGCCCCAAGAGCATGACCATGGCAGAGCTGGCAAGCCACTTGACTGCCATGCAGTGACATGGGTGATGGATAGATGCCCTCTTCTTTACCTCTTATGACCTACAACTTGTAGTAGTGCGGGCCCCAGGGTCATCACAGCGAAAGACTGGTCCATTCTCATTACCTGCTTCAGCACTCAGGAGACCAGGTCCTGAACCTTGCCTTGTAGGACAGGAGAGTTGGCCCTGGATGAAGGGATTGCACCTGAGCCAGCAGCAAGGACATGATTGTGGGAGAACAAGTCCTGTGTCTTATCTGCTGGCTGGTGGTGCTAACCAAGGAGAGATTCTATCCTATCCTCGCTTGTCCTTTGCCATCTATCATAGGCAGAAGAGCTTGTTCTGGGATTGTGAAAATGGGAGAACTGGCCATGTCTCTCCCCAGCTGCAGCACTTAGGAGAACAGTCCATGAACTTCATGTGAGCAGCAGAGTATAGCTGGTCCTGGTATGAGGGGTTGTTTGTGAACTGGACCTAAGTGTATGAAGGCAGGAAAGACTTTATGATCTAGGTCTTTTAATTGGTCTAGCCCAACATTTACTGCCCTACAAACTGCTGGAAGGCGCCAGTCCAAAATATCTATAACTTCAGTATCTCCATAGCACTTGACAACAACAACAACAGGATACCCAAGAGCAGCCCCAGTTACTATGGAGTAGCAGAATCCAGAGTACAAGAAAAGAACATTGGCAAGCAAAGAAGTGTAGACATAAGGGTATGACATGGGACACATTGTGATATATTACAGCTTCTACAATGATACATTTTTCTCTTAGTGCAGTGGAAGGTTGCAAGAGGGAGGATACATACAAGAGGAGCTGAAGATGAGAGGGGTTGGGGAGTGTGATGTGAAAATCACAAAGAACCAATCCAAAGTTTATTTTAATAAAACAATGATCAAGAACTTGGTGGTGCTCATCTGCAAGCCCAGCACTGAGGAAGTAGTGGGCTTGCAAACTACCACTACTTTACCAACAAAATAAAGCAAAGGACAATATTGATAAATAAACAGTCATTGATAAGTACAGATTTCATTCAGGAGGACAAAATTGGCATTACAAAATACCTGCTTTGAAATAGATGTTAGATGTGAAAGGACACAAAAAGCTGGTAGTAAGCATTGCTGCTGTGCTCTGGGGAAGCTTTGCAATTAGAATCAATTTGAGGAAGATGCCACATCTGGAGAGTCAGAGGACAGCAGAGGAGCATTTCTACACATCACTCACAATCCAAACATCACTCACATCCTGCACATCACTCATCCTCTGGGATCTCTCAGTGCTTAGTTGTACAGTGACCTCATGCTAGTTTACATTACCAGGGAATGCATAATGAGAACTCCCACAAGAATCAAAGTAATTCCAAAGCAAAAGTATTAACTTTACTTATTGTTAGGGTTTGCAGGGACTGCTAACTGTTTGGGGTATACAAGGACTCTACCTTTGAACATTATTCATAGTTTAGGGTATGCAGGGGGCAATAATTTTAACCATTACTATTGCTACAGCAGTAAGTAACATAACTATTGGTGAAAAGCATGGGTACAAAGAACACAAACTGAACTCAATGCAGATGTGCAGAAGACAAAACAGGGCCAAAAGCAGGAACACACTCTGGTGGTCTTACTTACCCAGGAAGCTAAGCCTGGAGGATTGCAAGAGCCTAGATGTTTGAGACCAATCTAGACAAGCCAACTCACCAACCAAAAACAACCAACAGTAACAAAAATGATTGTGCCTATGTTTGCTTGTTTTTGAAGGTAGGCATTCTCTGTGCAGTCCTGGAACTCATACTGTAGACCATGCTAGCCTTGAAATTAGAAATCTACCTACAGAGTACTGGGAATAAAAACCTGTGCAACCTCCACAAAGCAAGAACTTATTTTAAAGTATTAAGAGTTAGATATATCAACTGTAACTGGGTCTTCAAGCTTTTTGTTACTTACTTCTGCCCCATTGTGAATCATTACCACATTCAGAATCATTTCTAGAAACTTCCACATTCAGAACCATTTCCAAAAATTTGCACATTCAGAATCATTTTATAAATACCTGTTTCATTTGCAATCTCTCCATCTGGACATGGGATGCAATCAAAACAACAGAATGGTTTCCCTTCAACAGGTGCTTACCCAGTGAACAACTTTGACTGCAAACTGAAACAGGAAGCTGTGCAGGAGACATGGGAGGAGGAAAGACAGTCAATTCATGACATTCAGTATTAGCATCCAGATTGTAGATTTCAGCAGGACTTCTGTAGACTGTAACAACCACAGAACTACCATTATTTTAGAAAGTGTGAACACAGAGTATCTGTTTCTCTTTTTCTTGAACTCTCTCCTTGTCTTCCTTTTGAGAACTTGCTTTTTATTTCATTCAGCTGTTATTTTTATTTTATATACTGTGTTATTATATTTAAAACAATGTTTAAATTTGAATATACTTTGATCCTATCCTTTCCCTACTCCCATTCTGTCCAGATCTTTGCCCACTCCCTACTCACCCAAATTTATGACCTTTCTTGAAGAACAAATCAAAATACCAATAAAACAACAATCAAATAAAACCTAGAAAATAAAATACAAAGCACAAAAAACAAAGCAAACAAAACCCACTAAACTGTAACCAAATATAAGTGTTTATATAAATATTGTTGATTCCCTTATTGGTCTAGTAAACTAATCCTGACCATGAGAAGTAGTTGATACACACAGTGTTTTACATTGAAGAAAATTTATTGGGACTCTCGGAGAATATAATATTCACCATTAATATGTACCATCTCTTTTTATCACATCACTGAAATACTCAGAGTAAACAGTTCCAACAATAAGGGGATGAATGTGCATATAGATTTGACACTCAAATCCAGAAAAATGTGTCCAGGATATTTAATTATACTATGCATCCATAGATTGTGTTATTTACACAAAATAACTTATTTAGTTGTGGAATGGCTCAGCCCTCAGCAAATCTTTAATACCAAACAAAGGTAAAATTTCACTGGTAGAAGGAAGCACCCATGTTTGAAAGTAACATCTAATTGATGGGGCAGACAAAGTGATGAATCAGAGAAAGATCTGACAGAGTGAGTCAGAGATAGGATATAACCAGCCCTCAGAAGAATAGACAGGGAGATGTAACTTGCGGGGTTCCACACCAGCAGTCAGGTACTGAGTTGGGACCCAGTGACGTGTAAACGCCAAAGGCTAATGACTCATTAACTCTCACTTACTTTTCTGACTCAGAAGTTGATGGCTTCTGGTGATTTAACTCTCTCTTGTTATTCTGTGACCAGAAGCTTTTGGGTTTTGACACTTAACTCTCTTTGTTCATCTTAGGCCAAAAGTTGATGACTTCTGACAACCCTGTTCTCTGAGAAATTCCACTCTGAAAACAGCTCATGGTACTGACCTCAAGGATACTCACCTCCTTGTGGTATTTGCCCCAATTTATGAGTTTTTCATTTATGGAAAGATGCTGAACACTGTGAGATTCAAAGACAAACTCGCCAACTTTCACTTGAGCTTTGGTACCGCTCTGCACAGACTGGTAATTGAGGATATCAAGCGTGGTTGCTGAAACCTCCTTGTTCAAAATGTTCCCCTCATTGGTGCTTCTCCCAAGTAGGCCCTTTTTTAAGAATGGATGGAGCTAAAAGTGAAAAATAACATTCAGAATTACTATATAAGTCACTAAGATATAAATAAACCTGGTTACATTAACTACCCTGTCTTTCTCTAACTATATGTTCTGTGGCTTTCATTATTTTTATGTATATCAAACATTTGTGATAGGGCTAATCAATACCAGCAGTAGGCCTATATCACACAAACAGGCACACACACACACTTACACACACACAGAGTCTCTCTGTCTCTCACGCTCACTCTCACACACACAAACACACATACACACTCATGGCACACATTCAGACAAACACTCAAGAAATACTGCAGGTTAAAGATGTTTTCAACCAAATGCACAATACAACAATAAGATAGCTGAAGGAGATCAAGGGATGGTAATTAGCAAATAAAAATTCATGAAAATATCTGAAGATGTAAAGATCTCCCATACTCATGAATCAGTAGAAATAACATAGTAAATAGAAAAATAACTTCAAGAGGTATCACTATCCCTGAAGTTAAATTGTAGAACTCTGCTATAGTAAAAGAAGCAACGAAGTTATTCAGGAAAACACACATATTGAACAATGGAATTGAATTGAAGACCTAGAAATAAATCCACACACCTATGGACACCTGATATTTAATAAAGAAACCAGAAAAACACAATGAAAAAGGAAAGAATATTCAACAAATGGTGCTGTTTTAACTGAATATCTTCATGTGTGCCATGAGTGTGTATGTGTGTTTGTGTGTGTGAGAGTGAGCGTGAGAGACAGAGAGACTCTGTGTGTGTGTGAGTGTGTGTGTGCCTGTTTGTGTGATATAGGCCTACATATTTATCACCCTGAACAAAACTCAAGGCCAATTACCAATCACATTGAAGCAGAAACGTTGGAAAAGGAAGTTAAAGTAAAAAACAGCTTTAAACACATTGGCACAGAAGACAATTTTCTAAGCAGAATACTGCTTTGAAGGCACTTAGATCAACAATTAATAAGTTGGATTTCATGATCCTAAAAGCTTCTGCAAGGCAAAGAACAACTTCAAATGT